GTGGATAGATAATTAATGAAGATGGTTGTCTTCTGGTAGAAGTTTACCAATGTTTCGGAGGTCCTTGCTGCCTCCATCATCAGGGCGAAAAGTGATTATTAATATAAGTTCGTAAGGATTTATAAGAAGGTGGACTTAACCCATCTCAGTCCTATTCCGGCATTCGCCTGAAAGGAACGCGGACAAGTGCAGGACACCGGGTAATCCGACCAAGATCTGAACTGGGTGTCTCCCGAGTACAAAGGCTTTACCGCTACACGAAGCTGTTCGGTCTTGTTCTGTAAATTAAGCCAAGCTAAGTAAAAATTCTGGTCCATGAAAAGAGACGGTCTGTTGGCGATGACAATCCGTTATTCCCGTTGTCTTTCAAAGTTACTGGTTCGTCTCGAGTTAACATGGACAGTGGTGTGCGGCCAGAAGGAGACAGAACCTGCGTGGTCTCTGTAGAAATAGGAAGAGACGGATGAAACAGTCTGAAGTAGTGTTCATGAAGAAGTTGAGGGCAGACAGCGCGAAACAAATGAAGAACAAGGTGAATATCAAACTTCGCTAAGCAGACAAATGATGGTATTTGAAACTATCATCAATTTTCCGATAACCGCTGCGTGTTTAAGGAGAGTGTACAATGGATTGTGAGTTTACTTAATCGCGTTTTACACTGCTCATAATAAAAGACTAAACATATTAGTCCTGTGACTACTGTAATAGCTGTTCTTAAAAATAATATTAAGTTTCTGATATTTTTCCATCATGCCAAAAATATATTTTTCTTGTAAGAGTTTATTAAGTTCCAATATCGTACTTCCCCGACAACAAATAAAATCAAATTTTGGGTAAAATGTGTTGGGCCACAATACTGAATTTGAATGATCCATTTTAATAATACCAAAGTAATTAAAAATTCAGTCTGGCAGAGGACAGCACAATTTCGAAAAGTCACACAGAAGCTGAGTCATATCACAGAAGGGATATTCATCTGAATATTGGAACAAAGTTTTAAAGCCGAAGATGGCTGTCCTCTGGGTTGTAGCGACGTGTAGTCTGGCAGAAGTATACCGACGTTTTAGAGGTCCGTGCTGCCTCCATCATCGCCCTGATGATGAACTGACAATAAATTATAAAGCATGTGGAAGGAAGAGGTCGGGCCTACCTTGGTATTTGCCTGCAAGGAACGAGAAAAACTGCGGAAAGTTCAATCAGGAAAGTCGGTCTCCGGGTCGAAGTAATCTGAATATTGGAACAAAGTTTCAAAGCCGAAGATGGCTGTCTTCTGGGTTGTAGCGACGTGTAGTCTGGCAGAAGTATACCGACGTTTTAGAGGTCCGTGCTGCCTCCATCATCGCCCTGATGATGAACTGACAATAAATTATAAAGCATGTGGAAGGAAGAGGTCACGTCCACCTTGGAATTTGCCTGCAAGGAATGCGATGTGTTGGGCCACAATACTGAATTTGAATGATCCATTTTAATAAAGACTATTAATACCAAAGTAATTAAAAATTCAGTCTGGCAGAGGACAGCACAATTTCGAAAAGTCACACAGAAGCTGAGTCATATCACAGAAGGGATATTAATCTGAATATTGGAACAAAGTTTCAAAGCCGAAGATGGCTGTCTTCTGGGTTGTAGCGACGTGTAGTCTGGCAGAAGTATACCGACGTTTTAGAGGTCCGTGCTGCCTCCATCATCGCCCTGATGATGAACTGACAATGAATTGTAAAGCATGTGGAAGGAAGAGGTCACGTCCACCTTGGAATTTGCCTGCAAGGAACGAGAAAAACTGCGGAAAGTTCAATCAGGAAAGTCGGTCTCCGGGTCGAGGTTTGAACGTTTGACCTCCAGAATACGAAGTACGAATGCTAACCACTCAACTACGACATTCGGTAAAAACGTGGAGTATGGTCTTCTGGGTCTGGCAGAGGACAGCACAATTTCGAAAAGTCACACAGAAGCTGAGTCATATCACAGAAGGGATATTCATCTGAATATTGGAACAAAGTTTTAAAGCCGAAGATGGCTGTCCTCTGGGTTGTAGCGACGTGTAGTCTGGCAGAAGTATACCGACGTTTTAGAGGTCCGTGCTGCCTCCATCATCGCCCTGATGATGAACTGACAATAAATTATAAAGCATGTGGAAGGAAGAGGTCGGGCCTACCTTGGTATTTGCCTGCAAGGAACGAGAAAAACTGCGGAAAGTTCAATCAGGAAAGTCGGTCTCCGGGTCGAAGTTTGAACGTTTGACCTCCAGAATATGAAGTACGAATGCTAACCACTCAACTACGACATTCGGTAAAAACGTGGAGTATGGTCTTCTGGGTTAAGTTTAGTGCTTGCAGTTAACTTTGAGAGACATGGGCTTTCTGCCTCTATCTGCAGCGTTAAGACGTAAGTAAAGAGTCACAACCCAGAAGACAAACAGCAAATTTCATAGTCGTGAAAACCTCAGATCTTCCATTGAGGTCTGTTCACGAAGCCGTACAACTGCGCCCGCGATAGTACAGCCAATATGTTAATCCCATGAAGTCCCCAAACAATGGCTACGTCTCCTGAATACAGTGCCTACTAAAACCAAGCAGGAATATTGTAAATCGTGTCTTTCAAGTCAGAAACATACAACAGCTATCACCCCATCTATTGCACACGTTCTGTCACGCAGAACGCATTCGAAATTCTTGGCTTCACAAGTTTCCCTCCAATCTATCCTCAAAAACAAAGGATCAGGATAAAATACAAGAAGATCTCCTACCTTAATGTCAACATCATTTCCACGCCATGCATAAAAGAGACTTTACCTACTGAATCATACATTATATTCGGTGAAGACAGTCTTAGAAGCTGCATGCATGAATAGGGTTGCCATATTATTGGTGTTACAAGCCTAAACACTCCATCTCTTGCATAAGAAAGAAGGTAGGACACCACACGAGGTGCGATCGGAAGGTTTCCAGACTGCGCGTATAAAAACCCGTACACTTATCTCAGGTATTAAATTCATCCATCACCCTCGAAGTAGTTCGACTGGGAGTGAACACAACGATCCCAGCGCCGCTGCCAAGCCTGGAAGCATCCCTGGAAATCTTTCTTTGTCAGCCTGTCAAGCACCATCTGCGATTCTGCCTGAATCTCTTGCCAAAGACTCGCCAAAACGGCTACGGAAACCTATGAAATGCTAAAGCAAGCATTTGGGGAGTCCGCAATGGGTCGTGCACAAACTTTTGTGTGGCATTCACGTTTTAAAAATGGCCGAACCTCTGTCCATGATGACGAGCGTTCTGGACGACCATCTTCGAGCACAACGCCCGAAAATGTTACGAAGAGTCGGCAGGCCATTCACGAAGATCGACGTCGTACCATCAACGACTTGGTCGACATTGTTGGGATAGGCTATGGGACATGTCAGCTGATTCTAAAGGAAGAACTCCACATGCGACACATCCTGTCTGAGGACCAGAAGCAGAATCGACTTCTCGTTTGTCAGGAGCTAAAAGATCTTGCAAGAACCGACCCCAACATCCTTTCTAAGGTTTCCTCTTCCCAAAGATGAAAATTCAGCTAAAGGGAAGGAGATTTGAGACGATAGAAGAGATTCAGGCAGAATCGCAGATGGTGCTTGACAGGCTGACAAAGAAAGATTTCCAGGGATGCTTCCAGGCTTGGCAGCGGCGCTGGGATCGTTGTGTTCACTCCCAGGGGAACTACTTCGAGGGTGATGGATGAATTTAATACCTGAGATAAGTGCACGGGTTTTTATACGCGCAGTCTGGAAACCTTCCGATCGCACCTCGTATCAGTTATGCCCGGCAGAATACCAACTACGATTAACTCAGATGCTTGATAAATTCTTTACTGTATGTGCTATCGCCATCTTAACCGTAGCGAGATGAAATGAGGACACACTGCTTCAAATTAAGATACTACACGCTTTAGGTCACATTTACAACAGCACGAGCTGTGATTCAGAAATACCTGTGCTAACAATAAAAACAATTTTATTAAAATATAAGAGAACAGGACAAAACAGCGAACCAGTAAGGACAAAGTCTCCAATTCGTGAGGTACGGTATACGTATGATACAGAGCTTTAAATGGAGAGTAATATATTAATATTTAATTGCTTCATTTTTAATATTATGAGTTTAAGTTAGGTGGCAATCATGATTCACAAATAACATCTACAAAATCGCCCTGATGATTGAGGCAGTAAGCACCTCCGAAACGATATTAAATTTCTATGAGACTATCACGGTACAACATTCAGAACAACAGTAATCTTCAAAATAATATTGCTCAGTATATTCAAATAGTGAAATGGAACTTAAAATAGAAAATAAATTAAGTGCTCACAAAAGCCTGAACTAAAATTTTAGAATATCCAAATTAACACACTAGGATAGCAACACAATTTTATAGGTGGATAATATGAGATATAAAAAAAACAGTAATAATAAATTACATAATATATATCTATATTTTAACTGTAGTCGTAATGACATAATTAGATATCTATCAGTTATGATGACGGTGAAATATTGTAATTCCCTTCTGGAAGCTGTCGGTCTATGAATTCCTGCTCGGAATCTGACAGACTTTTCTAAGTTCAGTTACAGACCTTCAATTAAAAACTGTCCTTCTGCTAAATGCGCATCAGCTGCTGATGTTGTCTGCAGGGACTTCGATATATTTGAAATAAAAATTGTTTCCCTTAATCACATTCCACAATAACTGTGTCACTATCCAGATATTAAATATTAATTACATTGAACATATATATTCCCTTTTCACAACTCTTATACACGACATTGACTACGTGTTATCATCTTTATTTTATAAATTCTCTGGTTTCGTACCTTGTATGTTTCGAATATTTTCTTTTCCTTTTAATCTGCTTTACTTAATTTAATTGAACTGTTTTTACGAAGATGTATTCAGTAGCAATTTGCATTTATGTATAAATGTCCTCTACATTCATAATATCTTTGTTGTTACCTTTATTTATTTATTTATTATTGTGTTCTTCTCTTGGCCCTCTGGCTGTTGATACAGCACACTGATAATAAACAATTGAATTGGGTTAAAATTTATTGCAGAGAAATGTACAAATAACGAAATATTTCAACACAAAATTTTTCGTTCCATGAGTTTTTATATAACAATTTCAAATTGTTACATAATTTTTGTGCTATGTAAAGTTTACAACGTGTGACACGAACAAAATTCAGATATTCGAGGTAATAAACACAGATTGCTACGAAATCTTAAGCTAATGAGCGTGAAACAAAACGTACCCGCCACTTGATCATTCCTGCAGCACCAAACAAGAATTCGTACTGGTTCAAGCGGCTGAGAATCGTAAACTGTCAGCAGAATTTAGACCAACGCCCCCCGAATCCAGGTCAAATTTCCCGCAGGCATTATCCATATGGCCATGGTTTTGATTTACAATTGATAATATCCGAGACACGTGTCCCTTTACAGCATTGTAGCTGCCATTAACTTCACTGTGTCCCTGGACCCCAAAAGCGTTTCCCTAAGGGGAAGTTTTTGAAACAAGTAATATTTTAGGTTCTCATGGAGACGAACATCAAGATAGCTGTCTTCTGGGGTGCTGTGACGTTCAGTCTGGTAGAAGTTCGCAGACGATTATCGTCCTGATGATGGAGGCAGCAAGCACCTTTTAATCGTCGGTGAACTTCTACCAGATTGCGCCACGCAACAACCCACTAGACAGCCATCTTTTTAAAAAAATTATGCTAATTTCCAAATATAAATAACAAGAAAAGTGAATATATTATTGAATTCGACATCGATGTTTTCCTTCTAGATTTGAACCCGGTCAAGACAAAGCCACCTAGCGACAAAACACGAAAATGACATGTTACGTGTTCGTATAATGTTTGGTGCACACGCCTTCTTATGAGTAAGCAAGAAATGTGTGTGCAGTTATCGACACAACGGAACATTCCAACAGGGAGTACGTTTGACATTCGTCGGGCGAGGGCTCCCTCCCACTGTGATTTCAATCCGTGCCCACACGAAAATCGACTGACATCATCACTCCAAATTCACAGACACTCTGTGACTTGCATACGCCACTTATATTGTGACAGGCCTACACAATCTTCCCTGAACAAAATACAGTTGTTTAAAAAGTAGATTAAATTCTCTGTTACGCTGTGTTATGTTGTTTCTACACTGATTTATTGCGTACGATATTTATTATTCAGTTATGCCAACACACAACAAAAATAATTTTGTATGCATTTTTGTATTTTATATGTTGTAACACAAACTATCATAAGAAAATATAGTTCGGGGGTGTGGATTGGATTCATATGGCTCAGGATAGGGACCAGCGGAGGACTCTTGTGAACACAGCTCTTCATGTTCTATACAAGGCGAGGATTTCTTGATTACCTGAACGAACAATTTGCTTCTCAAACGTTCTTTTTTCTCTCTCGGATTTGTTGTTGTTAGGAAGTTCACAAAACTTGTTTCGGAATACATACTATAAATGCTGTAATGATGCATCTTTCCAGCATAGTTTTAAACTCCTTGTTAAAACTAGAGATACTCAGTTCACCAAAAGTCACAACGCACGAGTATACGTCAACGACAAAAATATTTCACCTGAGAAAATTTTAACTTCGCGTAAGAATATTTTGAGAAGAAAATGCACCGAAACCAGGGCCGAACGGTTGCCATTTCTGCTTCGTATTTCGTTTCTACTGAGGATTCTTAAGGTTGAACTACGTCTCTGAGAT